ATATAATGTATATAAATATATTATCTATATTTATAATGGTAGTCCCTTCACCTCTCTCTCGCGAGCACACACACACACACACACACACACACATGACGTAAATAAACCTCTTACAATTTACAAGTCTTTTACGGTGTCTATAACTAGCCTGGTAACATACTGCAGGTATTTGTGGGTACACTCGCCTATATATTGAGCACACGCCAAAGACGGCCCAACTGCACTAGTTATTACTCTCTAAAAATGCCATGTTTACTAAATTCATCACCTGCAGCGTTGTCTCTCCCATGGGGAGAAAATTTACCCTCTTTTTTTCATCAGTCCTCCGTAATATAGTGTTCTGTAATGCATTACACTTTTTTTTTGTTTTCTCGAAATACGGTTTGATTTCGCCTTTCGTAAATAAATTATGGCCAATATTTTGAATAAATGGTTTAGAATAACTGAGAGGATGTTGGTTATTCTAAAGCATTTATTCAAATTATGGCCACTTGAAGTTGCCGAAATACGAAAAAAAACTTGTTAAATATTTGGAATCTTATTTTTTTCACCCCTTCTAAAATACCACGAGTGCCATTTGTAAATAAATCTTGAAAACTTTCCTAAATAAGACAATAATTTGTTAAATACTAGTTATTATAAATGATTTATAACCATACATTAGTTACTGAATATGGTAGTGCAATTTAGAGTGAATTCATAACTGTGGACAGCCAGTTCATTAATCTTTAAACAGGTCGTTACCACTGAAGCTTGTTTATTTATCAGTAACGTTTGAGTCCAGTTTCTGAATCCATTATGTATCCCCTCTGATTACCGCACACAGAATGGGTATGGGGTACTACTGCCTACTGAGTGGGTATGTGTGTCAGGGGCATAATAAAACTATCGTAGCAAAAAGATAAGTACCTAAGAAAGAATACTTGAATTACGGAACTGGTTATTACCTTTCCATTCCTTGAATAAAACTTGAGTATCTCCCATTCTCCAGGTGCTGTATGACCCCCTACGGGGTTAACGCTTATTGGATTAACTAGCAGTTAGTCTTCAGCTAGCTGGTTTGTTCTTTAGTTAGTCTCACAGTCTCGATAAAGGCAGTTTGTATCGTTTAGCTCCCTCCAGCAATCACTATAGATCTCAGTAATTGCTATTTTACGATACTGGGTCCGGGCAGTATCTTCTTTACAAAGATAATGGTCTCGGGGTTGTATCTTTGCAAAGATACCGGGCCCGGGGCTGTATCCTCTGTGCACAGATACTGGGCTGTGGGCTGTATCTTCTGTACATAGATACTGGGATACTGGGCTCGGGGATGTGTCTTCTGTGCACGTATATTGGGCTCTCTTCTGGATGTACCAGGTGTACGTAGATGCAATTTTTAACATATTGCAAAGCAATTTATCTTGCATTATCTCATTCTCTTTGTCACACACACACACACACACACACACACACACACACACACACACACACACACACAGATTAATTTCAAATTGTGTGTGAGAGAGCGAGAGCGACAGAGAGAGAGAGAGTTATTTTAATTTAATATTTAGTGTTTGTGTATTTATTCCAGTCTTAAAATATATATATTCTTCTATATAAGAAACGCAGTGTTATATCGTTGCTACTAATAAGTAACACATACCATTGCTGTTTCTATTATCGATTATCATATTACTATTACTAGTCATCAAACCAAATACTTGGCTGTTACTCCTGCCAAATATATTCAAGAGTCTGTTGCCACTTGCAAAAATTAGATATGTTAAGATCCTGTCGCTTTCATTTTCTTTGAGGTATATGTCTGGCTAGGCTGGCGAGGCCTACGTCCGGGTTGAGAGGGAGAGAACAGCGAGAAGGATTGTGGAAGGTAAAGAGAGATAAATAAAGTTATATGGATGTCTTTATTGGCGATGTTTCGCCCCACTTAGAGGTATCTTTCAAGTAAATGGTATGGTGATAGACAAAATGTGGAAAATGACATGTGTGAAATAGTTCAGGACATTTATTAAAGGAAACGTTTCGTGAATTGTGCAGATGAGTCCTTTTCCACTTGTAAAAATGTGGGGAAGTGGTGAGGTGAAGAGCAAGTGGAGTGTGTCGTGTCAAACTGATTTGCATGTGTTCAAGTAATTTTGGAGCCGGGGCTTCAGCTATGTCGTAAAAACCACAGTAGTGGTAACAATTATGGGATTTCTGTAGGCCGACAGATGGAAGGAGAAAGACACTTAGAGCGAGAAAAAACTAAATTTCTGAAAAGTTGTGTGTACATAACTACTCATGAGCTGTAACTGTTTCGGTCTACTTGGTTGAACTTACTGGAGATAATGATGAGCGCAGATTCAAGGCATATTCACGTGTGTCGTTTTCTTGGACAACTAGCGCACCATTCCAGTTTATCAAGTGGTTGGAGGAGTTATGGTGCATTTTGCGGGCATTGGTGAAGTTATGTATTTTGCTGGCATATTAGTGTTGGGTGATGCGTCTGTGGAGTTTTAAGGATGTCTTCCGTACGTTTATTTTGTCACAGTTATTGCATGTTATTTTGTATACGCCAGCTAGTATTTTGAGCTATACTGTGTTTCTCTTCGGTGACTAATTTGATCGTGATAAAAGCAGTGGTAGCTATGCTGACTTTGTAGTTGGATTAAAAGAAAATCGTGTCAATCGTCATTAATGGATGTCCTGTAATTACGTCAAAGATTCTCCCGAGACATAAACAAGCCATTGCTCGTGAGTTTTTTTCCTCAGGTTTACAACCTATTCTCACTCTACTGCTCCAGAACTGCATGTTGACATCTGATAACTTTTTTTTAGCGTTTCCCGACATGAAATACAAAATTCTTAATTAAAAATTCATCTACAAATTTATAATGATTTAGGCTCGGGATGATTTAGAGCAATAAACAATAAAATGAAAACAGACTTCCTTATAATAAAATTATCAGCTAAGATTTAGAATGAGACATGTAACATTTACTAGAAAAAAAAGGTTCGCAAATCATATGAATGTGGCTTTTAATTACTGTACCACCGACACTAATTGTGTGTTTCTCTCTCCTTTAGGTGTGATCAGGAGCTTGTTAACTCTCATCCAAGGGACTGGTGTGGGCAGTACCAAGACGACGACCCAAGAGCTACAAATAACGATAAAACGGGGGATAAAGAAGAAAATAACTACTCATAGAGCAAGACAATACAAGAAGAAAAAGAGGATAGTGTTGATGTGTGTGTGTGGGAAATCAAGTCCCCATAACTATGATGAATGGATGGAAAAAATATCCCATTAACAGTTATGCTGCTGTACATAACACACTGCTCGAGGTAGTAAACAAAAGAATGGAAATTAAATTAATATGCGAGTACAAAAAAATTAAGAAATTCTTGCTAGAACGAAGTGAAAAGAGTTAGAAATGTCTTTAAAAACTGGAAGATATTTTAACCAGAGCTACGAGAATGTTTTTTATCACTCTGAATGACTGAACGAGAGTGAACAGGTGTACAACATAGTGTACGAGGCAAGGAATGACTGAACTAGAGTGAACAGGTGTACAACGTAGTGTATGAGGCAAGGAATGACTGAACGAGAGTGAACAGGCGTACAACATAGTGTATGAGGCAAGGAATGACTAAACAAGAGTGAACAGGTGTACAACATAGTGTACGAGGCAAGGAATGACTAAACAAGAGTGAACAGGTGTACAACATAGTGTATGAGACAAGGAATGACTAAACAAGAGTGAACAGGTGTACAACATAGTGTACGAGGCAAGGAAAGACTGAACTAGAGTGAACAGGTGTACAACATAGTGTACGAGGCAAGGAAAGACTGAACTAGAGTGAACAGGTGTACAACATAGTGTACGAGGCAAGGAATGACTAAACAAGAGTGAACAGGTGTACAACATAGTGTACGAGGCAAGGAAAGACTGAACTAGAGTGAACAGGTGTACAACATAGTGTACGAGGCAAGGAATGACTGAACGAGAGTGAACAGGTATACAACATAGTGTACGAGGCAAGGAATGACTGAACGAGAGTGAACAGGTATACAACATAGTGTATGAGGCAAGGAATGACTGAACGAGAGTGAACAGGTATACAACATAGTGTACGAGGCAAGGAATGACTGAACGAGAGTGAACAGGTATACAACATAGTGTATGAGGCAAGGAAAGACTGAACTAGAGTGAACAGGTGTACAACACAGAATATGAGGCACGGAAAGATTGAACGAGAGAGTATAGCTATGCCTCATACAGTACTGTATGAGGCACAACTAAAACGAGAGAACATGGGAGAGATAGATTAGTTAGACAGTGAAGGAGCGAGCGAGCGAGAGAGAGAGAGAGAGAGAGAGAGAGAGAGAGAGAGAGAGAGAGAGAGAGAGAGAGAGAAAAGAGAGAAGAGAAGAGAGAGAGAGAGAGAGAGAGAGAGAGAGAGAGAGAGAGAGAGAGAGAGAGAGAGAGAGAGAGAGAGAGAGAGAGAGAGAGAGAGAGAGAGAGAGAATATAAAAACAATCTAAGCTATATTTTAAGAGACAGAAAAATATATTTTTAAAAAAATATGCAGTTTCTTCCTTTTCTCCAAAAGTGGGGAAAAGAAAGAAAGAAAGAAAGAGAGAAAGAAGGAAGCAGAAGGAATTCAAGAAATAGTAATCACAGAAACAAGAAAATCCTCAAAAGAAAACGCATCCTCCCAGCACAGACAAAAAAAAAAAATGAAATCTAGCTCACTATGAAATACACGAGTGGATAAAAAATATTTTTTATCATTATTATTATTTTGTGAAGCGCTGAGCCCGTGTGAGTGTCAAGGCAACGAGTGGTGCAGTCTCGACCCTCCGTCTGCTTAACGCAATTGACAAACAACACTTTTTCACTAAACGAGTGAAAAAGAAACACAGTAAATATCATTAATATTTCATTAAACAATTCGTTGAACATAGTATGTAAAAACGTCTATTTTGAAAGGATGATAAATAAAAATTTATATTGCAGAACTGGTTTTCAAAACGAGAAATAAACAGGTTTTTGTTTTGAAGAGAAGTTTGACGTTAAAAATATTGTGAAGGAGTGACCGATGCTGATGGAGCGTAATTGACGATGATGGCTGACAGAAAGTGATACTAGGAGGTTGATGAATTTGTGTGAGAACCTTCAGTAAACATGGCCATCAATGTTGTTATCCCTCTGTTGATACCACTAGAGGAGAACCTTCAGAACTGTGAGTACAACCTGTGTTTTGTTGTGTGTGTGTGTGTGTGTGTGTGTGTGTGTGTGTGTGTGTGTGTGTGTGTGAGCGTGTAGCATTTATTTTCACATATTTATATATATCTCACATACTGTTTTACACTCAGACAACCCCAGTACATATTCTGAAATTGGTTTAATATTGATCTTTTAAACAGCAAGTTTTTTCTCGGTATCATGAACATCAGAGGGACAAGTGACCATCCCTGAGGCACGCCGCCGGTCATATATAATCCACGAAAACATTTTATTCCGTCTTACTATTTTTTTTCCTTTTTTAATTTTAATCAGAAAATATTTCGTTCTCTGTAAAAGATTTGTCTTTCTCTTTCCTATTTTTTTTTAATTTCCGAATAAATCTGTCTAGAGTCTTCAAGGAAATTTCAATAAGTGCAGTCTGCCATATTATAGTTGTGGTTGTAGGAGTGGTGGTCATTGGGGTGATGGGGTGGTCTTTGGGGTGATGGGGTGGTCGTTGGGGTGATGGGGTGGTCATTGGGGTGATGGGTAGTCGTTGGGGTGATGGGGGTGGTGATGGTGATGGTAATGATAATGCATAACTGCCATAATACGAGCGAAAAGTCAAAGAGGGCAATGGGACGTCAACAGATGTGATCCGAAGAAAGAGAGAGAGAGAGAGAGAGAGAGAGAGAGAGAGAGAGAGAGAGAGAGAGAGAGAGAGAGAGAGAGAGAGAGAGAGAGAGAGAGAGAGAGACTAAAGGTGAAAAAACACAGTAATAACAGCAATAGCAACAGTAGCAACAGTAGGAGAAACAGCACCATCGATATCACGGTAACAGAAACAGTAACAGCAGCCGTAATAACAGCAACAGGTGGAATAACAACGATAGTAGCTGAAGTAGCAAAAATATTAGTAAGAGTGAGAGCAACAATAATAGCAAAAGCAGAAATAGCAGCATAAGAAGTAATATCAATAGCCCTAGCAGTAGCTACAGCCGTAACAGCAGCATAAACAATAGCAGAAATAACATCAACAGGCAACAGTATCACCAACAGCAACAGAAGCAACGACATAAACAATAGCCTTAGTAAACTATTAATAGCAGCAGCAGCAGCTTACATAATTTAAAATTAACATTAGTAACAAAAGCAGCAGTACCAACAACAGTAGGAAAAGCAATATGAACAACAGCGGTAGCAGCAATAATAGCAACAGCATATGTAGTAAAAGGAGTAGTAGCAACATCAGCGGAAGTAGTAACAGCAACAGCAATAACACCAACTACAGCTGCGTAGCAGCAAGAACAGCAGCAGTAGCAGCAGCAGCAGCAGCAGCAGCGGCAGCAGTAGTGGTAGTGGTAGTAGTAGTAGTAGTAGTAGTAGTAGTAGTAGTAGTAGTAGCAGTAGTAGTAGCAGTAGCAACAGCAGCAACAGCAGCAGCAACAACAGCAAACAAAACAGCAGAAACAGTAGAAACAACAATATTCACAGAATCAGCTCGAGTACCAATTTCAACAGTTACAGCAATATTGACATCTCTCTCACTGCTCGTGATTAGCTTTGTCCAACCGAGCGCACAGCTGATAACAGCTGATAACAGCTGTTAATTGGAGACGGCACAGCTGGTACCATCGTACCGAGACAGGTGGTCACGGCCTAATCAGGTGATTATTGTAATAATTATCAAATTGTTATTAACATACGAAGCACTAATGATCGTTCAATAACGAATAATGCTGCAAGTGCATAGATATTAAAGCGATCAGTAGCTGGTATAGTGGTTTGAGGGATCAAGACTGTTTAAAGAGGATCCAGTGCCATTAAGGGAAGTATTAAGAGTTTGTCATGTATAGATCCTGCCTGGCATGGGCCTGCTGGCCCACGCCAGGGAGGTTCAACTCACCCCTACTCACATCCACTCTCATGTACTTGTCTAACATACTTTTTAAGCTACACAGGATTTTAGTTTCAGTGCCGCTACTCAAGAGTTTGTTTCACTCAAGCACAACTCTGTTAAAAAAAAGAGTGCTTTCCTATATCCCTTCTAAATCTAAATTTTACCAACTTGAGACTATTGCTGCGAGTCCTGTCTTGGTTAAATATTCTTAGCGCGTTATTTACATGCCGTTTATTTATTCCTGTCTTCCATTTACACACTTCAGTCATAGTCCCCCCTAATTCCTCCCTCCTTTCCAGAGAATGGAGATCCAGTGCCCCCTGTCTGTCCTCGTTGGAAAGATTTCTGATACATTGGATCAACTTTGTCATCCTTCTCTGTGTGTTTTCCAGCTCATTTATGTCCATTCAGTACTACAATGGCCAGATCGATTGACTGAACACATCAATTCCAGGCTGAGGGACTGATTACTTCAAACTCCTCCTCCTCTTTTTCTACCGTTCTTCTATATACTAAACTGTTGAAGCCACTGGCTGGCGAAACATTTCCTCAATAAAGATTCCGAAATGTTGCACAAGTATCTCATTCTTGAACTTGTTAAACTTTCATTGGCTGCATGACTGCATAACTTGGATGACTTGGCTGCATGACTTGCAAAAAAAAAAATACACGATTTCAGAACAAGCTTTTATAGGGACAACGTTCAGGTCTGTGCAGAGGTGCTTCAGCTCATGTTTTGTATTAATATTGGCAAAATTACCCACAATATGTTAAGTAAAAGGACACAAATGCAACTAATGTGGTTTTATTGTGGCAACGTTTCGCTCTGCGGGAGCTTTGTTGAGCGGTTATGGCTTGACAAAGTTCCTGAAGAGCGAAGCGTTGCCACAATAAAATATCACATTAGTTGGATTTGTGTCCTTTTACTTAAGAGGTCATGACCTGATGAAGCCTTTACACAGAGTGCAACGACCCAATAAACGCCTGTGTTGCAATCTGTGTATTTCCTTTACTAGTGTCACCAGTATACCATTTGGATCCTAGTACGGCTTATGGCGAAAAATGTAAGATATTACTACAACTTAAAAGAATCCTATATTCTCCCACTGAGCTTCATATCGGACATATCCGGCCAGGGTATAATTAATTTCAAAGATAATTTACAAAGCAAGAATGTCACTTCGAGTGTTTCTTTGACTTCGAGTTAATTGCAAATTTCGTAACAATATTTCACCGTGTCATGTTTTAATTGGGAAATTCTCTGTTTTGTTTAGCGAAAATGATCTCATTTAAAAATTCATTACACTTGGGAAAGTTCGTGCAAGCAGAGCAAAGTTGTCATAAGTTAGGTGTGTTTATAAACTTTGAGGATGAAAATATTGTATATATTTTTTATAGGGTGTGTGTGTGTGCTTGACTTTAGTTCATACCTACTCGTTATATCTTTTTTTTTTTTTACCCAACAAGAAGACAAAGGCAAAATACCGTGACTGGAACAATACACAAATAACCCGCACGTTGGAGACTGAAATTTATGACGACGTCTCAGTCCGACGACCGAAACGTTGTGGTAAGCTCCTCTCTCCTATGTGCGGGTGTAGTTTTTTTTTACCCATTTCTCACTGATATTTTGCCCATTTCTTACAATTTTTTACACACTTGCAGCTTCTCTCTCTCTCTCTCTCTCTCTCTCTCTCTCTCTCTCTCTCTCTCTCTCTCTCTTTAATTTTTTTTTACACAGGGTTTGACAAGGTTAAGGATCCCTAGCTTTATTGACAAGCTATTTACAGGTTAAGGATACCTAACTTTATTGGCAAGCTAAGAGCTGTTACCTACATCAGCTCTCTCTCTCTCTCTCTCTCATCTTTTCATCATTTACATTAATGATCTTGAAGCTGGAGGAACAACATCTAAATTCGCAGCATTCGCATATGACACGAAATTTGGAAAAATGTCACAGTGGTTGGATGATGAGGGAAATTCAGCGTGGATAGTGCACAGTAATGATTTTTAGATATAACTGTCTCTGAGAAGAATACAAAACATATGGAACCCCATAAGCGGAAACAATAAAAAGGAAGACCTTGGAGTTGTCATTACCAATGGCGAAAAAGTATTCTAAAATAAGGTTTAGCAGCGAATATCGAAGCTATAAGTGTGTTAGCTTTCCCAGCTGTGTAGTGTATTCATCAGTACTTATCTTGTCATGAGGTACCGAGAGAAGGCGCAGAGAGAGAGAGAACAGGTCATGTACTTGTCAAGACACAATCCATGTGACGAGGGACTCACAACAACAGTCCAGTTCTCTTGTACTAAACAGAGACCAGAAGGAGATCTCATTCGAACCTTTATTTTGAAGATTGAGACACTTATGCAGCATATGGGAATCTTTATTCAGGAAACGTTTCGCCACACAGTGGCTTCATCAGTCCAATACAAAGAGGAAGGCGTAAGGAGAGGAGGAGAATGAGGTAATCAGTCCCTCAACCTGGAGTCGATGTGTTCAGTCCATCAATCTCCTCCTCTCCTTACGCCTACCTCTTTGTATTGGACTGATGAAGCCACTGTGTGGCGAAACGTTTCCTGAATAAAGATTCCCATATGCTGCATAAGTGTCTCAATCTTCAACTTGACGGTTTTTCAAACCATTCATCACAACCTTTATTTTGCTAAATAAATCTGATATACTCTAGTATATATAACTTCCTAAAGTGCAGAAGGATTTAATAAAGTCCAACAATATATTAAAGGTAGGCAATAAGCCTACCCGTAGTAAATCACAAACACACACACACACACACACACACACACACACACAGGAAACACTTATTACAGCGATGTTTCGCTTATTGTCTTGCACTTACAAAGTTAAACAGTTACAAGAAACTTCGGGGTAAACAAAACAAAAGCTAGTAAGAAAAAAATCAGAACCATAGAAACTGAAACTGCACTGAAACACACGGCATAATTTTTGATTCCCTCTCTTATTCAAGCCAACAGAACAGACAGAAAACTTAGGGTGAGAGCCTTCAGTTATACTAATATTTCTTATTTATCTCCCCAAAACGAGAAAATTGCCTGACTTGTAGTTAGTCTTTCTCAGCAGACAGTCTTCA